GCGCGAACCTGGCCGACCGCGCCCTGCCGTCGGCGCCTCGCGGAGCGCGCACCGCAGCGGGCACCCCGCGTCCCGCGCACGCGCCGCTGCCGCCGAGGCTTCCGGCACCTTCCGCGGCGCGCCGTGGCGCGCGACCCTGAAACAAGCGCGGGCTCAGTGACCCTGGTGGCAGGTCCCGCCCAGCCGGAGCTGTCCAAGGCAAGAATGGGGCTCCTCTTATTTCTCTGGCTCCCCAGAAGCTTTGCAGGCACCCTTTGAGCTAGACTTCCTTTTCCTCCCGTCTCCTTTCAAACACTAAAACCAGGCTGCAAAAAATCCCGGTCAGAAAACAAGAGCTGTCAGAACTTTTAAAGTGTTTCATTTGAATACTTTTTGTAGGAGGATATCAAATGAGATAATAAACATACTAGAAAGGAAATCTGTAGTAAATGGCTAAAGCACTATATAAAATGAGATAATCACTTGCTCCCTTTAATTTCACGCGCAGGGACGTGCAGAGGAGAGGACACGGGCGGGTCGCTTGGCTCACGTGCGGCCCCGCTGCTTCCCTTCTCTGTGGCCCTGGGCAGGTCATCTGTACTCCGGCCTTTGCTTCCGTCCAGGTGGGATGTGTTTCCACATCTATCCCAGGTATGAAATCCTGGTGCTAACTTACCTATAAATGAAACCATGTAATGTGTGTTTGTTGTGGGAGGAGGAGCTGTTCCTACTTCTGCTCCTATACAAGGATTTGTTTTGAGTGTTCATTTCTCCTTTTGGTCCAGGAGCAGGGAAAATAAGAATAATTGCCAAAGCATCCCTAAGAACAGGTTGTGTGTATAGTAGGCCACCTAATTTGATGCGGATACATTCCAAGACCCCTACTGGATGCCTGAAACCACAGGGTTGGACTGAACCTTGTATATACTATGTTCTTTTCCTTTACATACATACCTATAATAACGTTTAATTTATAAATTAGGCATACTAAGAGAATATCCAATTGCCAGTATCACCACTCTTGCAGTTGGAAGCCATTATTAAGTAAAATAAGGGTTACTTGAGCACACATGCTGTGATAAGGGTGATAAGGTGACAGTCAATCTGATAACTGGTTGGCTACTGAGTGACTAACAGGCAGGTTATACTGGACAAAGGGATAGTTCCGGGGGGAACAGAGTGAGATGGCATGACATTTCATCATGCTACTCAGAAAGGCATGCACTTTGAAACTTATGAATAGTTTATTTCTGGAATTTTCCATTTAAAATTTTCTGATCGTGGTTAACGGTGGGTAACTGAAATGGCAGAAAGTAAAACTGTGGATGGAGTGGTGGGGGAAACTACTGTACTGTAGAAGAAGCCAGTCCTAAGGAGATTCCAGGGGATGTCCGGGTTGAGGGACAGATGTAGAGGGAGTCAGCGTTAAAGGTAGGTGGGCTCTGGATAAACAGAGGAGATGGAGGAGACAGTGGGTTTGTCCTCTGAAAAACCTGTTGAAATAAAGAATGCTTGGGGCAAGTAAGTGGCAGGCAGGAAGGCAAAGATGTCTGGGAAAGCAGGGGGATGATATGGGGATGCATTCTGTTGGCCTGACTGGGAAAGCAGACGATGGGGAAGGAGAGGGGGAGAGAAGAGAGACAGAGACAGAGAGAGAGGGAGAGAGAGAGGGGAGAGAGAGAGAGACAGAGACGGAGGAGGGGAGGGGGGAGGGGGAGAGAGAGACGAGGGTAAG